ATATAACAACCAGATATTTACTTTGGTCAAAAAAAAAACAACCAGATATTTACTTCTTAAAACTTGAATGTTTACTTGTCAATAATTTTCTATCAATGAAATTACATTTTTAAAGTTTGACAACTAAATATCTGTAATTTACAAATACATGTTCGAATTTTGACTGATTGTGTTATACTATTTATTACAAGTTGCCCAAAAAATTATCAACTATATGTTCAACTATTGACAATTAAGTGTTCATGATTTAACAAGTAAATATCTGGTTGTTATATCCTTTGAAATATTTTATCCTTTAAAATACCGTATACACGTTATCCATGACAACTACAATTTCGAATATTGATAGGGATATGTCCACAACTATTTGTAATCTATAGTATTAACTAGTAATCCTTTCAACTCTGTTGTAAATCAAATTATAAACACTTTATAAATTTACAAATACACATCCTACATTAATAAGACAATATTCATATTTTTACAACAAAAATTCAGTTATCCTTAGGAGGGACTTAAATTCCAACGTTAAAAAGGGCATCCATAAAAATTAGGGGAATTTTTGACTTTTTACTTCAAAACATAATTTTTTAGATCCTTCAGGCCTGTAAAGAAATATTAGATTATTTTAGGCTTTCTTTATAATTTTATTTCTTCCAAAGGCCTTAGATGCCATGCTCCCTTAATAATTCATCTTATAAAAGTTATTGCTATGAATTTTTTTTTTTTTCATTTTCCCATATATAGATATCCTCATATTGAAGGCAACTCTATTTAAAGTATTATCAAACACTAAAAATGAGAATCTCTTATAATAGGAATTCAAATATTTGTTCACTATATTATAAAAAACTTAGCTCATTTTATTAAACCAAACCTAATTAGTTATTACCATGAATTATATGCCCCGCTCAAATCTCCCCGCCACAGTATAATTAGCCCATCTATTTTTGACTGGGCCGAAATGTTAAATTCCAAATTTGGATTTGGTATCTAATAAATTACTGTATCAAGAAGAAAATTTACAAGAGGGGCTAAAAAAATTTGAAGCTTAAATTAATATTTCTACATAAATTTTGGGCCATGGCCCAAGAAGGATAAAGTTTTGAATTTTGGGCCAAATTTCAAGTCTCACTCAGCCATAAGTCCATAGGTCATGAGCTCATTTGTATTTGGATATCATGTTTAAGTTCAAGATTCAAACTTTTCCCATATGTATTAGAAAATAAATATCACACCACCAAAATGTTGTCAAACCATTCCACTAATTTTTTTTTCAGTGCCAAAAAAATTGTTTTGATATAATTATGCTATTTATGTTGTTTGCAATCTTTCATGGCGCTAAAAGCGTATAAGGCACTTATATGATACTAAGCCATATCAAGTTGGTTAAAATCAAACCACATTGATACAATCAAGAGGCTCAATTACCACACAATACAGTAAATTGAAACCAAGGTTTATGCCTTAAATAATCATATGGATGCACAAAAAGAGTTTTCATTAGAAATCTCAACTAACAAATTTTCAATAGCTAATATTTTGAGGTGTTGGTTGATGGGTTAAGTATATACTTACACACACACATATTGAGAGTTGCGTTAAAGTCCCACTTTGAAAAGAAATGCAAATGCTTTTAGATAAATAATTGTGAATAAGCTTATACCAACAAAAAAATATTGTGAATAAGCCACTTAGAGTTGGCAGTGATAGGATGGGAGATGAATAGAGATCAAAGATTCAAACTTTTCTATTTTTCTTTTTAAAAATGGATAATTATGAGTTAAATGCTTCTATTGGCAAAACTGTTATGAGTAAAAATGGATGTTTGTATTCTTATTTCTTTTAAAGAAAAAAAAGATCAATAAAAAGATTGATTCACAACATGTGAGGACTGTTGCTTGCAGAACAAGTTAATATTATCTCATCAAGCTTTCACATGTTATAAAAATAGAAAAAGAAAAACATAATCCATCGACCCATAATATCAAAATATCCCATCTCTTTCTCTCTCTAAAGATGTAATTTACAGAATTGACGAGAAAATGCGGCTTTCACTGTACAACTATTTATATGCCTGAGACGTTTTTATTTTTCTTTTGGTAGAATATAGCTCGAGACTTGAGCTCACTCTGTATTGACCAATATTTGGGCCCAAGACATTGAATATAGCCTGCTTGGCCCAAAGAATGATTTATTAATTACACCACATCCTAAAGTTAGCTCTGGACAAAGCCGACCACAATGTGTGTGTGTTTATAATGAATCCATAACTTCAGGCCCAAGCAATTCTTTCCACAACTCTTACATGCGAAAAATGTTACAACTGTATTATTAAAAAAAAAAATGACTAATGAACGCTGGGTCAAGTTGAAAATGGTTGTGACTAGCATTCCTTAGGTGAAAGTTCGGAGGCGAGTGACAAACATAATAATTAAAGCGGCCTCAAATAAGTCATCCTATCGGTATCCGTAATTATCATGAGGTCTCCAATGTGAGAGTTCGAATTAATTTGGGTCGGATAATAACCTAATATACCTCAAGATAGTAGGTGATTTAGTACTAAAAAAAATTTGTTAAAACTACAAATAGATGTTTGCCATCCCTTAGAATTTTAAAAACAAAGCAAAACAAAAAGGTTCTCAAAATCGGGGTAACATTAAAAAAAAAAAATAGGGCTCATTTAGTTTAGTTAAATTTACAATTTCATAACCAACAGTGGTTAAGTCAAGTAACAAAGTCTTAGTAGTTAAAACACACTACTTTTTTAATTTTTTCACTTAAGTAAATTGGGTTATTAAGATCATTAGGACCAAAGATATATTTCATAATTCAAAAGATATTTTCATGTGTAGCAAGATTTGAAATTTTATCCTTATGCATATTTGTTGCATTCTTGCCAAGTGAAATTTATTCCCCCACCTCACATACAAACAAAAATTATGTTTAAACAACTTATAATTAAAGTTTAATTTGTAGTACCTAGTATAAAAATATAAAGTTTGCATAGTAAACAATAGAGGATCAAAGGTTACTGATCAGTACGTCAAGCTTATATTCAACGTAACCACACTCCACAGGGTCTCATTCCTCGTCGTTTAATTCATTCACTCTCTTCAACAATATCACTATGCAATATCGTCGCCATTCTTCCTTGCATCATCGTCCTCAGCATCATGATATCAATCAAGCTGATTCTACATTATTAGTGGTAAACATTTATGGTGTGTTTGGATATGAATTTGAATTTGCATTTGAACAAAATCCCTCATTTGGATGTACAAAACTTTATAGATTTGAATAAATTCATTTATTATTACTCCTTCCATTTCAAATTATAAGACACTTAAAAAAAACTTATGTCCCAAGGTTTAAGATATTTTGACAAAAATAAAGTTTTACTAATGATTTTTTTCAATATTATCCTTCATATTATATTATCTCTCTTTAATATTTTTTTTCATAAATGAAATCTTAAATTAAAGGCACTTTTAAAAGTTTATTTAATAAGCTTTATTAGTATGTGTAATTATCTAAAATTGTACCTTATATAACTTGGGATGGAGGGAGTGTAACTTTTTTATAATTTAAATTTTCTCTATACCCTAGTCATTATTTAAATTTCGGTCACTTTAAATATCTTGATTTCCTCATTGTTTCACTATTGATGCTTATATGATTATTTGTCGATTAATTTATTATTTTCCTTTTGAATTTCAGCATATCACTTTTCTTCATTTGAAACTTCTTAAATTACCCAAATAAATGATTTTAAATACATGAATTTAAAATATGAGATTTGAAATTATGATTTTAAATCTAAAATTCATATCAAAATTTACCAATTCATATACTACCTTACGATTTATTTGTGAGCCAAATAAGATAGAGCCAAACTGAAAATATGTTACCATCTTTATAGTTCCTTTTCCTTCATTCATTTGCATCAAATACCACCCCTAAATTTAATATTATCATGCATAAAACTATATTAATATATTGACATCACGTCTCATTCTTTCTGCCTTCTGCATGATCTCGCCACCATGAACAACTTCATTGTCAACATGATCGTGTATATATATATATATATACACCTTTCAATTCTTTTTTATATATGTTCAACAATAAATTATCAGCATTTCAGCAAAGTTGGTCCCCTTATGACTATACATAATTCCCCTTGGCTAGAATTCAATCCCATATTCAGAAGGGTAAGTTCATGTCCAACGATTAGTTATTTGAGAATGTGATAAATAGATAATTTATAAGTATTTATGTAAAAATTTTAATTTATAAATTAAATTAGAAGTATGGTCCAACTTTAGCAAGTGTTGAAGAGTCATAAGTTTATCCTAACTTTGCATTACTCATAATCTTATTAAATTCAAGTCTGACTATTAATCTTGCTATTGGTATGAGAATTTCAGCACTTCTATAAATTAAAACTTAATAATTAAAATTAAAACTTATAAGTTTAGCATCATGTACAAACCTTGATGAGTTTTGGTGACCCAACTCATCATAACTTTTCCTTACCACGAAATGTGTGTGTGTGTGTGTGTGTGTGTGTGTGTACATTTCAGTAAATTAAATTCATATGATGTGGTCTTTGATGGGAGGACGGATGAGATGGAATCTATTCATGGATCTTTCAAACACACAAGTTGGAGTCTTGAAATCCAAGTGCCTCCAACACTGAACTTATTGAAAAAAAAGTATCTTTTTTTCATCACTGGCAGAAAAAGATGGTGCATAATTCACAAATCAATCCTCTCAAGTTGACGTCTCATAAAGCAACCCTTTCTCATTGCCACCAGATATATCTATCTTCTTCCCCAGTAGTGTGAATAATAATATTAGGGACCACACAGCCTCCAATACTATCTCTGATATTTTTTCCCCTTCTAATTATTCTCGTTTTTCTTAGCATCCAAACACAAATATTCTATATACACTACCATAATAATTAAGTTCTCATCTAAACGTAACATCATCCCTTAAAAACATAAATTTCAATTCACTCTTGTATATATAAACAAGAGAGCATCAAGGAAATACGTATATAATAATCTTTGCATCACCAATCACTTGAGAATTCCAATGGCAATTCCAAATCAGACGAGCCCTGATATATAATACACATATGGTTCAAAAGATCAAACTATATATGCAGCCTCAATAATGTAAAGGATTCTTAAGAACTGTGTGTGTATATATAACTATATATATATATATATATAGTACCTATCTAATTAAAGTACGTACTGAGTTCGCATCTATCCTGCCAAGTCATGAAGCAACTGTGCACCCATTAAATTTCTGTAAGGAAGGTTTTGTGCTTCGCCGTCCAAGAGTGAGTACTGAACAGGTTGACAATCTTCCATTTGATCTCTTGGATAGAATAGTGACAACTGAGACGGTGGCGGAAACGCCAGACTAACCCCAGCTTCGCCGTGTTGCTGTAACCCTAGCGTCAACGACACGCCTCCACCACTGTTATTATTCTCATTACTGTAAGAAACAATGCCAGCAGCTGAGTGGTGATGATGAGTGTTGTAAGATGAAAAATCAAGCTCCACGGATCCAAATGTGTTGTTATTACAGTGTTGATCTTGGGGATCGCTGTTGTTCTTGGTGGAGGACTCGTTCTTGTGATGATCAGCTGGTGGATGGTTGTTTATGATAGAAGACACACACTCGGAATCTATTCGGAGCAACCGGTGGTTGTTCCGGAGTGGCTTCTGATCTTCCGGCATCCGTGACGTGGGAGGTGGATTGTCGAGGTTCCGGCCGCTGGTGGCAACAGCCAACATGTTGTTGTCATCGACGCCGGGATCACTGACTCCCTCAGAAGAGGCCATGTTGTTTTCATGCTCCTTCATTTCCTCCAAGTACATCTCTTCTACCATTGGCTTCCACAGCCTCACTCTTGCATTAATAAACCAGTTTGATACCTGCTTTGGAATTAAATATAAGTGTCACCAAACAAGGGTTTCCAATGACGTACGCATATCATAACAATATACATACATACATATATATATATATATATATATATATATAAAAGCAATGATCAGTCTTGGTCTCTCTTCTAATGTCATCTTTTTACTTAGTTGCAGACTTGGGGTAGTATTAAATTCTGCGTAGTTTGAAATGCGTATAATGAGTAGGTAAATAATTAACATGCCTGGCTTCTTGAGAGACCAGTTTGGCGAGCTAAGATATGTTTATCCATATCGCTTGGGTACCTGCAAAAGCTCTGACCTTTTAATGTCCGTAAGAGATAAAATAGAGAAATTAATGGGTCCTACGGATTAAAAAAAACAACAAAAAATTATTAAAGAGACAAAAAACCAAAAGATGGAATCTGAATGGTGATGCAAAGAAAGTACAAAAACTGAGTATGTTTTTTGCAAAGCAAAAATGAATAAGATTCTACACGAGAAAAACACATATAGTGGTATCCCCCACATGAACTGCCACTTGTTTGTTTTCTTTTTAGCTTTGGAGAAAACATTGATTCTTTCACAAAATGTAACTTGCAGGTTACTTATACTGGTTCTACTTCACTCCGTCAATGACACAGCACAAGAGAATCTGATCAAACAATAGAGAGAGAGAGCGGGGTATATACGGATGAAGAAAATGCTCGAAAAGCCAAGCTCGAAGAACTGATACAGATCGTTCGGGAAGGCCTCTCTGGGGTCGCCATGGATGACTCTCCATCATGCTCATTTGCTGGAAAGCTCTCTGTTGTCTCAGTGCTTGGTCTATGATTCTGAGTCTTGGTGTTTCGCCTTTTGTAGTTCCTGGTGCAACTGGATCTTTCTCTCCCATGCCTCTTCTTGCTACTTCTATCTGACTCAATATCCCATCTTTCAAACACCTGAAATGCCTCGACATCGCCTTCAATGCCAACGCCGAGTAAACCCTCGCCGCTCCGGTCCCGGCCACCTCCTCGAAAGACGACACCACCGCCTTCATTTGGTTGCAGTAGTGCCTGTATCTCCTCTCAACCTTCCCAACAGAACCCGCATTCAATTTTCATCACTTTCATACTGGACAGTCAATATATATGTAAGAAATTTAGAAGAGATAAATAATACCTCTTCCAGCATGGAGAGTAGTTTGGTCTTTCTCTTCTGCAATTCGATAAATTCTAGAGAGCCAACGGGATGTTTCTTGCAGAGACCGATTCCATTATCATCTTCCCACTGCTTGCTTTTGTGACTTGATGACTTTTGCTTCACCATGTCACCTTGCTTCATTCCCAGACTGCAAAACTCGTTGAGAAGTTCTTGTGCAGCGACCAAATACCTAGAGTTCTTGAGAAGAAAATGGCCTTGATACAGGTTCCCACCAGCTTCATCTTCTTGCTGTTGGTGTTGAGGATTCATTGATTTTCCCAACAATAACTTGTCTCCACTTGTTGAAGAAACAAAGTCTGGTTGGTTCTGGTGATGATGATGAGGGTGGTTGTTGGTCTGTCTCAGTTCAAAAGATTGTAACCCAATGCTTAAGGGATTATTGGAACTGAGAGAGAGCGAAAGGCCCTGACTTGGCCTTTCGTTTCCTTCACAAGGGAACACACACCTTAAAGAAGAATCATCAACAAGTAACCTGTTATCTTGCCAAGTGGTAGACGAAGAATCATGATGATGATGATGAGCTCCTCCAATAATCAGATTGTCGTTGGATGTGAAATCTGGTTTCGTAGTGTACTGATAGAAATTGGTGGAACCAGACTCATTGTTCATGGCCGTCTTGGAAGAAGAAGAAGGACCCGGATTGGGGTGGGTGGGTTTACCCGGAAAGCTTTTCCACACGATACTTTCACTTTGTTGGTGATGATGAAGATTCTTGGAGAAGCCAATCATGTCCATGCTTGTGGTGAGGTTGAACATGTCCGCCGGGTCGGACTCAAACCCTTGGATCTGATTCCCCAGATGGGTTTGGATCGCCGGGTTGCCCGTCGATACCTCGGAGTAACAGAATCCAGCTGACGATGATACCATCTCCCTCGATTTGTCTTCACACATCTCACCAGCCATCAATCAATTCCTTTTTTTTCCCTGCCTTTGTTTAGTGCATGCGATGTGGTATCTCAAAGCCAAATTTCATCACTATCGACTCTTTCACAAGATAGAACCTTCAAAAAGCATCAACGGAGACCGATATGTGTGTGTGTACATATATAATACCAAATTCTTATGTGATGTGCTCCTAAATAAAAAGGTGGAGAATTCTATTGAAAAGATTAACTAACAGAGACACAATAGATCTTACCGGAGAAGGAAGAGCGTGGTGGAGGTGACGGTGGTAGTTGGTGGAGCTAGGAGGAAGTGGGAGAGGTGGTTTTTTAATTTCTCAGACAGGTTCTGTTAATAAGCAAACAAGGAGAGTCCCATGAAAAATCAATCTAGCAAGAAAAAGATGAGTTATATCTGTTCACAAGTAGAAGATCAGATGGGTGATGATGACCCTCAAGCTATGATGATCATTGATATTTCTCTCTCTCTCTCTCTCCACTCTTTCTTTCTGTGTGAGAAGGAGAACTAGTGTGGGTCAATGCAACAACATATAAATACAGCCAAATTAGACTTCGTACAACGGCCCAAAAAAAAAAAGAAAGCCTGGAAATTCCCTCAATTATTTCTCACGCGCCTAGTAAATAAAAAACAATAAATAAACAAAAAAAGAGGACTATTTTTAATGGAATGCAATAACTGTCAGGATATATATAATATATATAATATCATCCAAAAAAAAACTGGCCTTCTCTCTAAGGAAATGAGCACTTAGAAACGACCAGAGGCAACAGAAAGAAATGATAGCCTTCATCAAACAAGCTAGCTAGCTTCATGGCTCGGGCAAGTATAAATGGTAGCCATGTGTATGTGTATCGTATAGATTTCACTGTGACATCAGGGATTTAATTTATATAAGAGAAAAGAAGTTATGATATTATAGTATGGGACGGAATCCCGAGAAAAAAATTCCTAAGAAGGAGTCATTTCCAGGCTTTTTCAGATGGGTTTCAGTGTCCGGGATCGTCTGGTTATGTGGGTCCTGTTGCCTAGGTTTGCTAGTTAGCCAACCAGGGCTTAATTAGCTAGCTAGCTAGCTTCTTCTCTGATATGCTACCACTACTACGACTTATCTCTCTTCTCTCTCTCCCTTTTCTCAGAAGCTGATGAGAGAATTCGAGGCTTAAGAGGCTTCGGGACTTGATAGAGAAGCAGAGAGTGAGTAATGAGAGAGAGAGAGAGAGGGAGAGAGAAATAGGAGGAAGAAGAGATGAAAAATGTTTGCTAAAATAAGGTAGAGAAAGGAGAGAGGTAGAGAAGGAGAAGAAGTGGTCCAATGTTTGGCCGTCTAATTCGTATTTATTGGTGTATTAAAGTACTCCACCCATCTCCTCCTTCTTTGTTTCCATTTTGCATTCCACCGGACCCCTCCTCTACTTGTCTTTCCTTTCAATTCCTTTCCCTCCTCCCCACGCGCTTTCACCTTTTATTTTTTCTTCCCTCCCACATCACATGTCTATATATTTTAATCCTAATAATAACAATCAATTGTTGGATTTAATTGAATCGGCTGCCAAATAATATTTGGAAGCCACAACATGCGTGAGGTTCTGAAATTGTAATTTAGTAAGGATTATGTGAGCCTTATTTTTTGTGAATAAAGAAAATCATGTAAAGAAAGCTTTGCCACTCTAATATATATGATGACCTAACTTAGTTATGATTCAAATTAGTTGATAATATCTAAGAGTGAATCAATATAATTGAAAAAATAATTCACATTTATCTTGGTTCAACCTCTCTATATTGCATTTATACATGATTCTGTAAGGAAAACACAAATATAGACACATGGATCTCACCTCATGCATGTCATTGTAGCACTGTGCTATTGTATTAGAGATTAGAGAACTTCATTTCTCTAGAACTAACACTTTTATGGAGGTTTGCATAGGGCAATAAAATTGAGGGATATATTTGTCTGCAATTATCTTATCCTACCAATAGTTAAAATTACATCTGATGGAAAAATAAAAATAATTATATCTCAAGTAGTGATCAATTCCATGAAGCCTGAGGCGTATTACAAGTTGTATCATTTACACAGTTTTGTGAACAATGCATCCATTAACTTTATATGCATTTGCTGAACCAAAGCTAAATATGCCATAATGATATTGGATAACTGCAAAAAAAAAAGGGGGGGAAAAGAACAGAAAGCAAAAAACAAACTTTTGCATTTAGATTTTGACGCGCGGCTAGTATGTATGTTATTTGCCACATTTTTCTTCTAAATTATTAAACTACGTGGTGCTATTTGCACATTTAATATTTTGATGCTTCGTCCGTACGTCCTTTGCTCGTAAGGTGACACATTATTTTCATGAAAACGAACACATATTTCGCCATTTTGGTATGTTTTCATTTTGCTGTCATGTTGAAAATAATAGCATTTTTAGATCCTTTTCTATCTCGTCGACAACATATATAAACAGTTAAATCCCATGTGTGACCAGTCAATTTACGAGTCATAATCCAGATTTTATCAGAAGATCCACGAACATAGCACACATATCAAAGTGATTGTGCACGTTTAGTAGATCATTTTCTGGGGTATAAACGAGTAATTATTATTAATGATCACGAGGTTGATGCGCGAAGAAGGAAATAGGGGAAGAGTGACACTCACGCGCGAGGATGGAGCGTGGAGGGAGAAGGGCAAAGGGAATAATATTTTTTTTATCTTTGAAGATTTAAAAAAGAGAAAAGAAAGAAAGAAGGAAAGGGTGGTCCTGTTTCTCGCGCCGCTTGCCAAATTTAATTGGGCGTGAGGCCCATGATGACGTCACGATCCTTTTAGACAGGTTTGGAGGGTAGTGTCAGAAAGTGTGAGAGGGTGCATTACGCACTGTGCGCATCCTTGGATTTAAGCCAACTCGTAGGGCCATCACGGGCGTCCACCACCTATACAGAGAGAGGGAGATTGTGACGACAAATTACCTTTATCTTGTTCAATTAAAATACCATTTTATTTATTGCTCACCAATAAAAATCATCTAAATATTATTATTGTTGCAAGAAAAGTCTAAATTTAAAGAGAGAATGTGACAGAAAAATGCGTTGTTGGTATAGGTGGTTAAGTAACGAGGATGGTATTAAAACTTGGTTCACTCTTATGGATATTACATTGATAACCCGATAAACTGGCCAACAAGCTGGTTTGATATCAATCAACTGGAGGTTAGCCTAACTTAATTTTAATCTCATTAACTTGGATGGGTTAGATTGGTCAACCAAGTTGCATAATATATATACTTCCTTTGTTAAAAATATAAAATATTTTTATCGAATCTCATCTTTTAATAAAATAGTTATTTGTTTCCAAACTAACATCATCTTTTTATATTTATGTATATTTAATAGAGTATTTCATTCTGAAATAAATATAAAGTAATCTATTTATTAGAGACATTTTTTTAAAAAAAATGCAATGACAATACTTTGAAATATTAAAAATATCTTATATTTTTTAACATTCAACCCCTTAAAAAATGTATTTTACATTTTTTAACAGAGGGAGTATCCCTTCAAATGTAACATGACTTGATTTTGATATTTAAAAGAAAAAAATCAATCACTTTATTCAATTCCTATATTTTTGACTGAATAAAAACTTAATTCTCAAATTATGACTTGGTATAATTTAATTTTTATAGTTTTGACTCATTTGATAAATTTAATCCCTACATGTTGACTCGATGCAATTAAATCCCAATAGTTTTAACTACTTATAATATTGGTATCTATATTTTAGAAAATAAAATTATATGGACTAAAGTTATTTCTTAAAATTTAGGGACAAATATTTCAAAGTGTTAAAATTATAAGGATTGAATTATTATATTGAGTTAAAGTTTAGAGATAGAATTTTAGCTATGTCAAAATTAAAAGAAATGAGTTGCACTGAGTTAAAATTTAAAAATTAAATTACAACTTAAACCAAAACTATATAAATCAAATGATTAGTATTTTTATTTGAAAAAAATACATTGTTCGTAGTTTTTGGGGGGTGAAAGTTGTGTTAAACTGGTTATATATATATATATGTATATGTATATGTATATGTATATATATGTGTGTGTATATATATAGATAAAATTGCACTGAGATTTGATATTTCATATGCCTGTGAAATTTTCAAAGTCTATAGATTGATATGCCACAATTTTAATGTATCAATGAGGCAAAATGACACTAGAGTCTATGAAGTTGCACATTAGTACTAGAAAATCATAGCAACTATAATTTTTATATATATTTAAATTAAATTATACTATTTTAACCATGATAAGCTAGTCTAATCTTGGTTCAATCATTGATCATCAAACCATTGTTTCAATTGATTCAGTGACAGGTCTATTTTCAAGTACTTAATAATATAATTTGCTTTGGTCATCTTTAAATAATCCAACAAACCTAAATTTTTGCCTTAGAAAAATATTTCAATCATGATACATGTTAAAAATATAATATTTTTTACTATTATTAATTATTAATTAGTTCCATGCATTATCCATAGTTGTAAAAATGAATCCTTCTATTTATAATTTATAAATAGTACCCTCTCTGTTAAAAAAATATAAGTCATTTTTTAAGGTGAGATGTTAAAAAATACAAAACATTTTGAGTCGTAATTTTAAGAAGCAATTAATGAGATTTTTTTCAAAAATAAATACCCTTAATTAGAATTTTAATTAATTATAAGGTTGTCTAATTGAGACACCATATTAAATAAGAGTAAATATGAAAAGAATGTGTAATTTTAAAGATAATTAAAAAACTTATTAAGGTATAATTTAATAATAAGTGTCTTATAATATTAAAGAAAGGGAATATAATTTATTAGACTTTTTAAATTTTATATAAATATATATACCTTCCTTCCTAATACCATTTTATAAGATGTTTTATTAATGGATTGAGAATTCATAATTAATAAATCTTTTTTCAAATTTACACATCATCATTTCACTTTTTAAATATATTTCTTTTTTCGCTTCTTAATTCGAGCACAAATGCAATTCAATTCGAGACACTGTTGGTACCAAGTCTTTATTTTTCTCTAGCTCCATAATAAAATAGAACATTTTTTTAGAGTTTATGTGTTTTTTTTTTGAATAAATTAAGAGTTCAAAGTATATTCTTCATTCATATTCCCAATTTTATACTAAGAAAAGAGTCTTGCAAACTGGAGCGAAAGGAGGTGACAACAATAATATAAAAATTTTTTTATTATTGTGGTTGTTGTTGCTATTATGTATAGTTCATAAAAGGTGTTACATCTAGAGTCGGTAATTTAAGTCAAGTTTAAATTCACATAAAAAAAAGTTGAGAACGGGCGTAACTATATAGGCTTTTTTTTTAAAGGTAAGATATTTTAAATCTAATTTGAATAAGTGCAGTTGTCACAATTATCGCCTTTATATGTATATAGAGTCTGTAATTCATGCCAAGCTCAATGGAATGGTCCAAACCTGTCCAAAAAAAGTTAGGGTCAAACTTGACTATATGAGCTTTTTTCAAAAGGTGGAATACTTTAAGTCCAACCGAAATTTAATTCAACACGAATAAGTTTGACCTGCTCTAAATTACCAACTCTAGTTATATTTTAATTATAGATAAAGTAATTTTGAGTGTAAATATTAAATAAAATAGGAAAAATTTCGCCGAAGACTCTAACACCAAAAAATAACAATAAAGAAAAACCCTAAATTTTCATTGCTAGTCTAAATTGAAATTAAAACTCTTTGGAAAATGAGAAGATTGTCCCTATTGAAAGGGAAAAGAAATTTGCTCAATGTAGTGTCACAAAAAATTGAAGTGGACTAATGAACAACAACTTGAAGTATAATGAATAACATATAGCAGGAAAACGAACAAGTCATGGTAACATAATTGCAACACTTGGAATTAAAATAAGTTAAAGTATTGTCACAAACAATTGAAGTAAGGAAATGAACAACATACAATAGGGATTCAAACAAATCGTTGTAACATAATCACAACATTTAGAATTAAAATGAGTTAAAATATTGTCACAAACAACTAAAGTGAGGTAATAAATAATAGTTTGAATGGTAATGAACAACATATAATATAGATATGAGCAAGTTGTGATAATATAATTTAAATATATCAAAATTCACATTAACTCATGGCACAAACAACAAAGGTATGGGAATTAACATATGAGTG